CATCAATCTCTTCTGAGTAGGGACTGGTTGCTTCAGTGGATAATGAAGCAAAGTGTGGACCTGTAGTTGTGCAAAAAATATGATTGAGAAATATGGCCAATAGAATCACCATTTTGAAAGCCTGCGTTAATTATTTTTCGAATGTAAGCAGTTTCGAGAAGTTAATTGCCTAGCATTTTATGCTTTCTTGTTTTGCCTAATAATAGAAGAGACGGAAGACATTTCAATACTTCAGGACTTAGTTTCAAGAACTTAAACCTAGTTTAGCTAAGCCATGAAGACCAAGAAGGTGTATGTTTGGTTGCAGTCGCCCTTAGCTGTATAGTGTTGGTTTGACCTCGTTTTCGTAACTTGGTCGGAGTGGCAGGGAGTCCTTGTGGAATGTACCTAGTCCTGCGTCATTTGACATAGTATTCGTGAATTACCAAGTCAATGATCCGTTACTGGAAATCCCGAATACTATGGCATAGGACGCAGGACTAGGTAGGTTCTACGATATCTTCTTGTCACTCCGATCAAGTTGCGAAAACGAGGTCAAGGCAATGGTGGTTTATCTAAGCCTATATTACGTAATCCCTTATTTTTCCTGTTTCTTCTGCAATACAATATGTAGGTTGAAATACAAATTTTAGTTGGATTTGTTGGAGAACAAATTAGGCCAGAATATCTACAACGATATCCATTCATCCATACATACGATCATAGCATCCAAAAATAAAGAGCATGGACCTATAACATTAAATAGTTTCATGAGTAAAGTTGTCGGAAAAATATCGGCTTTCTATCCGCATAAGAGAGCAATCCTTCACTCTTAGTAATTTTGCGTAATGTTTAACAATGGTAATTTCCCAGCTATATCTGGAAGCTGATTGGCTGTCAAAACTATTATTTTGGGATTTGAGACAATTTAGCTCACTCAATATGGACTAGTAGTTAAATTTCCCGCACAGAAAAGAACAATAGGTATTACAATTCCTTTTGAATTTAACTTCGCCTTGCTTCTCAAAAGACTTTATCATCCAGGCTGAACTTCTGGTTCAAATTCGTCAGTATCCTGTCAGTAGCTTCAACAGAATTCGAGACCGGGTCTTATGCGTCATGCGGCAATTCTCAATGGATGGTTTCGAAACATTATCGTTTTGGATTTAGTCATATCGTAGATTTTAACGGCAATTATAACTATTTATCATTGACACTAGTCCCATTATGAGTCCGGCCTTGCCTGCCTTAAAAGTAACATCTGTCTCAGGCCGTCCCTGGCCTTTGTGCCCCTGTTATCATTGTCTCTTTACTCCCAAGAGCCGATTTCAAATTCCATTTAGGGCACTGAAGAGACCTAAGCGAAGTCTCATCCGCATTCCACTAGGAGGATGTGGACTTTTGAGAGGAAAGTCAAATGAACTTTGTAGGCATCCCCTCACTTCACTGTGGGAAACTCAGTCACATCATCCGCTTAAGTAACCTAGTGTGTTTCAAGATTTTACGAGGTTTAGAAATGGAAATGTTTTGGGTTACCAAGATAAACATGACTTATTTAGTCAGTAAAATTGGAAAAAATGTCAGCATTCATTGCTTGATCAATGAACCTCTTCCCAGACAGAAACGCTTGCATCCTGAATAATTTCATTATAGGTTAACTTTGCGTTTGCCAACCTTGCTCCAGGCTTAGATATGAATTTCTCTGTAACTGGAAATCTATAACCTGATTTTATACTAAGTCGGTTTCAAAGCTGTTCGTAGACCCTGAATAGTCATCCTAGGTCGCACAAGATGATGAATTTTCCCAAATTGATATGAGTAGGCTCGAGATGCCATAGAATTTCACTTTGCTATGCTACCTAAAAGGTATTTTCATCCAGGGTGGATGATAATTTTAAACTCGCCTGGGTTTAATCCACACCTTAGATAAGAATTCCTCTTGGTGGGAAAGGCTAAGTGAAATTAATGACAACCTGAGACCTATGCTTATCATTATGAAAAAAGAATCATCTACATTCTCTATCACCTTATGCAAAGGTGAGTAGAAAATGTAAACATTAGCTTAATAAGGGGTGTATTCACCTTATTTCGTTAAAAGTGATAAGGGGATTGACAGTTTAATTGTACCATGATGATATAAGTAGACCTTACGTGTCCAATGAATTTCGCATAGCCTTCCTTTCCCAAAAGGTATTCTCGTTCAGAGTGGACGGCAGTTTCGAGCTCGCATAAGTCTTAACAACACCCCCAGCAGGACTCAAACCATGGCAGTGCAGCATATAATCTCGACAAATTAACCACTATGCCACATTAACATTATTGAAGTTGGTTCACAGGGCAGATGTGAATTTCAAGGAAGGCCAGGAATTTTTCTATATCATATTCTGAGGTGGGATCTTCGATAAAGCAAAGTTTTATTTGCTATGGCAATCGACTACATTACTCATTTTTTCATTTTATAACTAGGCTTTGGAGACCTTAAACGAAATAGACTGAATGCCTCTCATACATATAATCTATTGATAGTCTCGAAAGCCTAGATTTACAGCTTTAACCATCTTATATCCGCACCACAATTGAGAAATTATTTATTTAGGTAAAAATAGCATTATCAGCTACTACTATAGTCAACTAACCGGAGAGGTTTTCACAGGATGATGGGGTTGATACAAAGCTAGGTGTTATAGATCCCGGAGGACATGAAAGGCCTATTTGAATTTGGCGCTGTGGCAAATGTTGCTGATGAGTCTGGGGGTATTGCTGGGGTTGGTGCAGCTGTACTGATGATTCTGGTGGAGGCTGAGGTGAGACCAGCGGAAGTATATGGTCAGGCTGATCTGTAGTTTGAAGAGGATGCAAATTGGCCTGTTGCTTCTGAAGTTCAGCACAAGCAAATAACTCGGCTATCCCGCAGTCACCAGTCACCATTGCGGTTAGACAGGAACCTCTAAACCCTGGCAAGCAAGTATGTGATGACAGCTGAATATCGCCAAGGGGTGCCAAACTGCCATCCTGGACCTCTTCAGCCAAAAGACAGCAGCCTCCAAGAACTCTACTCAAATTTCCTATAGGTCCATGCTCAATTAGCGTTTCGTCGTTTCGCACAGCGCCAGTCTTACCAGAAAAATTAACAGTTCTGCAGTCATCTCCAATGTCATATAGTCCTCCCCTTGCCTCTCTTCCTCCAGCATCTGTGCTTAACGTTGTAATGAGCTGATTTCCTTGCGCTTGATCTGAGGGCACGCCAGTATGATGACTGAGTATAAATAAGCCAGCAGAACTGGCACAAACTCGTTTAGCCTGTTGGCTTGCCGCCTCTTGGGCCTGCCGGCGGGCCAGCTTCTTCATCTGAAGAAACAAGTTTATTTAATTAAGCGAATTCAGTTTTTATACTCTATTCAGTCAAGTAAATGATATATGCAAGTAGAAAACCCTCCTTTATCAAAACCTCATTGTCACAATTCCATTGGAGCTCTCCGAAAACGTGCAAGCTCAACATATGTTCATTGCAGGAAAAGTTAAATTATAGAGTAAAAGGAAGCCAGATCCTCAACTAAGAAACACAATATTGGTTACGCAATGATTCCAGATTAGCCTTAACGATGGAAAAGTGGCAAGTAGTTAGTTTTTGTTCCGTGTTTTTTAAAGAACCTGGCAGCCCCTATTGAAATCTCTTTAGACTGGTATTACTGGCTCATAGTGCTAGAAATAAATGGGTATGCCTAAATCATTCTGGTAACTTGTTACTAGAAAAAATAATATGATACGGTCCATATTTTGGCTTAAGTCCAATTTCGCTCTAAGAAATCGGTTAGGCCCAATGAAGATGCCTACTAGGAGGCCTGCAAAAAGTCTGGGAATCTACCAGGTCCATTATGTCCAAGGTTGGAAATTCTCTTTACTACCATAGCAAAGAATGCCAAACAACCTACTTCTTTAAGTTTCTCCTGACTAAGCGATCCAACTGGGAAACGAGGTCAAACCGAGTCTATTCTTATACTTCTTAAAAGGGAAGATATAAAACATATTTAGTGTTTTTTGCGATAACTCGAATGCAGTAATTTGGAGCAATACGAAATGTCAGCCCTGAGTAGCTCAAATGTATGAGAAATCGTCTTATTAAGTAAACGAATAAATTGGTCATTGCTAAGGGGTCAAATATTTTATCAAGGTACCTTTGCCCTTTGATTCTGGAACCAGACTTGCACAACACGGACATTCAATCCAGTTTCATTTGCCAGAGCTTCTCTTACCTTAAATAGAAAGTGAACAAAAGTTTAATAGAAATATTGATAAAAAGGCTGTAAAATTTGGTGAAATACTTAATGCTTGGGCTATGGGTAAAAGCACATTAAAGACGAGTGAGTTGAAATCCTAGTGAAAGCGCATGAGAGAAATAAGTCATTGACGTTTAAAAAATAAAATATTGAAGACTGTAATTAAATTCAAATCATTTCTGAATAAATAATAGCCTACATTTTCTTTGCTGAACAAAAAAATAAATATACTGCACCTGCTAACATTTCAAGTATAGTCATTCTTGTCACTATATAGTTTGACGTCAGTAGATAGTCCTTTTCAACGAAATAAATGAGCTAGTTTTTATGCGTGAGGGACCAGGAAAAACCATTTTTATGGCTACTGGTCTTCTTTCCGCTTCATCAGGAGTGTGAATTACTGTTAATAAGCTGCGGGTGGATTTTGCCATATAAAAGATTGTGAATATGTAACTTTTTTAGATATTTAATAAAATGATTATATAGGCAGGGATAAATGGTCATTTTCTACTTATACTAGAAAATAATAGATGAATTAGATTGAAAGTTAGAAACTATATGACTTGGGAACCCTTGAGTTTATAGTTTGTGATGTGGATCTGGCTTCATCTTAACTGATGATTCTTTGACAATTAGAGCCAATTGATGACTCTGTAGACCGAATAAATCTTTAAATCGATCCCATAGTCTCTCGCATACTGAACAACCTCTTTAGAATAAGTATAAATAGCTCGATAATAACGTCATTAAGAATCCAGTTTATTCTGTACTGAAAATTGTTCTGTAACGATATTGCCTCCAAATGTGCTTGCGAATTATGACTATCAACCATAATAAGCATAAATAATACTTGTTTACATAAACCTCATAGAACTTGGATTGAAACCTAAAGTATTGTAAAATTATCTTGAACTAGGACTTACCTTCCTAATTGGCTTGGGATTTAACTCGAAGGCATTCTTGAATTTCCTTCTCTGGCTTGCCGAAAGTATGGTCCGAGGACGTTTAAGGTTCTTACTCGATTCTGAGTCGCTATCCATATCGATAAGTTCATCCTCTTCCCCGGTATCCACTTTGAAGGTGATAAAAAGAAAGTAAATCGACGAATCGTTTAGTTTATAAATGAAAGGATATTTGGTAAATATTTCATTGTTATTCGTTTCTCTCAAATGTGTTATTGGCATAGTGGTGAAGAACCCACGAATAGCATCATATATTCTCTCAATTTCTATATGTACATCATTTCGATTACCCGCACATTGGTATGTCTTTTTAAATATGAGCTCAATATTCGGCTCAAATTTTATGAGCCTAACGCGACTTAGGATCAGAAAGGCTTTTTATTAATATTTCTATCAAATCCGACCGAAGATTGTTCCACCTTTGCATACATAAATGTGCTTCATTCTATTAGAATAACGAATTGAAGCCCTCATCAGGGGTCAGGAAATAACGCTGCACATAGTTGCATCACCAATTAACTTTTGCATTATTTTGAATAGAATATATAGCTATGGGGTTATAACTCAGCCATGACGGAACCTCTTTTCTGTTTGACTCTGAAACAACTTTATAATATTGAGTTCTATAGGTGTACAAATGTTGACTAATTTTGTATAAGAACTGCAGTCACCCTAGGTCTCATAGACTGGTAAAAGGCTGGTTGTTGAATTTTTCCGCAATGATACGGATGGAACATTGCATTTCGCTTAACCTTGCTTCCTAAAAAGTATTCCCAGCCAGGGTGGACGACAGTATATTCCTCGCCTAGGTCTCATAAGCACTCCCAACGGGAATCGAACCCAAGTGGAGCAGCGTTTGTTTTAGATATATTAACCAAAAACAATTGGGTTACAAGGCTTGCATGACTTTCAAGCCAGGCTATGAATCTTACATATCTTACTTTAGAATGGGAATGTTGATACTACCCAGGCGAGGTAGAAAATGCAGTCAAGCCTGAGTGGAAAATTCGATTTTAAGTCTTGCATCACCTTATGCGAACTGAAGTAAATTCAATTCTTATTTACTATCTATTGGTGGTATCAAACCCTATTCAATATTATTTTGTGTTAGATTGGAATGAGAATATTGCTTATAAGCATTTAAGTGAAGGTTCAAACCTTGCATTGAATTTCACTTTGGCATGCCTCCTAAGAGGCAGAGCTAAAGGGTGAGCTGCAGATTCGACCTTGCCTAGCACCCTGAACGGATTTGAAGAATAGGATGTGAATAATTGAACGGGCTATCCGCTAAGCCAAACGCTTTTATGCAACTCGATACGAATTATTAATACTATCAGTTTGGCTATTATTTGTTTATTAAATAGTTGACATGCTAATTTGTTTTGTCTGTTTGATTATCTTCATTTCATTGTCGATACATTGATTACTACTCCGTGTGGCAAATGGCGTAGCCTCATTCTAACATAGATTTCTTAATGATTCTAACAATGGCTCACTAATGATGCCAAATACGATACCGGTGAAACGTCTAAGAATGTACCAAGTCCACGGTCTGCCTCTGGAAATTATCATGCGTACTATAGACTCCTGCCAAGATGCGTTACCCTAGTTCTTCCTGTCAATATGACCAGGTTACGAAAATAAGGTCAAACAATTATTATACTAGGAAGATCGCGACCATTCAAAAATCCACACCATCTTGGTCTTCATATCTTCGATTATACGGAGTTGTGACTAAGCGCTGGTATGCGACATGGATAGCCTCAGAAACTTCCTCAGATAGACTACCATTAAAAGGCTAAAGAGTTTGCTCAATTTGGCCAAAGATATGAAGATAAAGATGCTATGACCTCTATTATAGTTGCAGTCTCCTTTCGATATGTAGAAGTGGTCTGACCTAGTTTTTACATCTTGGTCGTGGTGTCGGGGCGACCTAGTTGGATTCACCTTTTTTTCAGTACTCTGCTATAGTAGTCATCGTAATTCTTAAAGCTGGACTGTGGACTTGGTACATTTCCAGATGTTGCACAGAAAGGGTAATCGGCATTGTCAGTGAATCTTGCCAGTCTTAGGACCAAGCTACAACTCGTCGAAGAGACAAGTGAAATCAATCCCCTGGCCAAATTTCTGCCGAACGGTTGTTATCACTCCTATAGCTGACCATCGCAGAATATGATATGGGAAAATGCATGGTCTTCATTAAAATTCAAATCTGCCCTTTGACCCAAAGGCACTTGTTGCAAGTTGGCGTAGTTGTTAACGTGTCAAGACTATACGCTGTACTGCCATGATTAGAGTCCCAGTGGGGGTGCTGGTGAGATCTAGGCAATGTCGGAACTGCAGTCCATGCTTGATAAAAATACATTTTTGAAAGGCGAGGCCATGTGAAATGCATATCACTGTGTGAAAATTCAGCCAACAATCCCTCATCACATTAAACGGAATAGGATGAACACATCATATACAAATGTATGTACCTTTCTAATGGCCTTTAAGGAGATTTC